AAAGGCAGTCTCTGATTGGGGCGATGCCAACCTTGTCAAATTTAATGTTACCAAAACGCAGGCGTGTCTTTTCTCCACTAAATGGAGTCCCTTTGAGCTGACTCCGACTTTTCGTGATATATTCATACCGATAGCCGACCGTCTATAGCTACTTGGAATGGACCTGTCGTCCAATCTGAACTTCGGTAGATACATTGAATCCATGGCCAAAAATGCAGCCAGGAAGCTTGGCATCCTTTCCAGGATGAGGCGTTACTTCACACCGGGACAGTTGCTTCAGCTGTATCAAGCACAAGTTCGGTCGGGTATGGAGTACTGTTGCCACCTTTGGGATGGCTCTGCCACATATCAACTGGCCACCTTAGATTCAATTGACAAGCGTGTCAAGAGGCTTATAGATGACTCGGAATTAGTAGAGGCGAAGCTGCAGAGCCTTGAACACCGCCGTAAAGTTGCCTGCTTATCGGTATTTTACAGGATATATCACGGAGAGTGTGCAATGGAATTACACGATTTAATTCCGCCTTCCCCTTTCCATCATCGAGGGACTAGGTGTAGACTTGGGTTCCACCCTTTGTTGTGGATATTCCAAAGATTCGCACGAAGAGTTACGCTTTCACATTTATATGGCGAACGGCTATGGAGTGGAATTCCATGCCTGCAGACTTGTTCCCTGAACGTTATAACTCGGACCTTTTCAAGGCGACAGTGAATAGGCATTATCTAGGTGTGCATGCTACATCGTCGACCTCATCGTCACTTTCTATCAGGTGAGATGGAGGTCAAATCCACACTTACATTAGAATAATAATAAAAAAAATGATACGGGAAAATTTTGAATTCGAGCTGACGTAACATCGACTCTTAAATATGTATTCGTGGTTGATCATACATTCCTGGTAACTCATCAGTGATACATCACTTATAAATGATCTTTGACGGAACAGCTGACGGCCAAGAAGTCTTTGTCATTCTTCATAACATATTTATTCTGTATTGCGTGTGCCATCGTTGTTATTATAGTGCAAAATTTCACAAATCATACAATAGTATCTCCTACAGTAATTAATAACTTTATTTTAAATTTGTATAAGCCGTAAGAGTGAATCAATCGTCAAAAATAATAAACAATAGCGGTCAATGCGACGTGTGCATTGTGTGTGACGTCTCAAGTGGTCAACTAAGTGCGCGTTGGAATTGCGTCCTTGTGCCATACGCATAACCGCGACAGTAGCGTGAACCGACCCGGCTGTGACGTCGCTGCAGCTCTCTGTGTAGAATAGGCAACGCAGAGCGGTCATACAATTGTGCCTACGTGTGCTGCCTCTAGGGAGACACCGCTGCACCAAAGTGATTTGCTGTTTATTTTTTCGAATTTAACATCGACTGGAGGAAGTCCACTGCTGATCACAGACCCCCAAAAATAAACATCAATATATAGCGCTTTCGCACGCGCCATGGCCTCTACCTCTACTAACATAATATGCTCAGGATGTAGACAAGGAATACATAATAGGGAGTGTTTGGCTTGCACGACGTGCAGGGGCAAATACGACTTGGCCTGCCTGAATATGTCTATTAAAAGATTTCTACTACTAGATCAAGACCGGAAGAAAAATTGGGTATGTTCAGAATGTCGCAGTAAATTACCTAAAACTGACAACACTAACACACCTGCTCGTGCGGCGGCGCATACTGATGTCGGTACACATATACCTGCGAGAGACGATCAGACCCACGATGAGCCGTCGTATGTGACTATTAGAGCCAGGCAGCGGCCTCCTTCTGATTGCGCAAACTACATAACAGAGGAGACGCTCAGAACTATTTTGCATCAGGAAATGAACAGCATCCTGGACAAGAAAATCAAAGACCTTATAAGCAAAGAACTGAGTTGCATCAACCAACAAATAGCGGGTTTTAACGAATCTATGTCATTTTTCAACAAACAGTTTGAAGAAATGAAGAGTAGCCTGGAAGAGAAAAACACACAACTGAGCAAATTACAAACCGAAAATACGCAACTACAGACGTCGGTGCGGGACCTTACGAGTAGGATGAACCTCATTGAGCAGAATCTCCGTGAATGCAACATAGAAGTCAATGGAATTCCAGAGAACAGGCATGAAAATCTGCCCAACATTGTTTTGCAACTTGAGAAGATCACAGGGAATCCACTTATCGACACGGACATCTTACACGCGGTCCGAGTTGCAAAATTCAACAAAGATGATAACCGGCCAAGGGCTGCTATAGTGAAACTACGAAGCCCTCGTTTAAGAGACTCTGTACTGGCAAGTGTTGTAAACTTTAATAAGAAAACCCCGGATGATAAATTAAGCTCACATCACCTTGGAATCGGAGGTTCTCGTTCGGCTGTTTTCGTATCTGAGCATTTAACTCCCACAAGCAAACAACTACACGCTGCAACGCGTAAACGGGCCAAAGAAGTAGAGTACAAATTTGTTTGGGTGCGTAACGGCAAAGTGTTTGTCCGCAAAGATGAGCGATGTCAACATCTTCTGATTAAAAACCACGACAGTCTAAAACTAATGACATAAACCTTTGTACCTTTCGCACATAAATGTTATGGTGTATGTATATATAAAGTGATTAACATATACTATCAGAATGTACGTGGAATCAGGACTAAGACAAACGAGGTGTACAAAAATATCGCTCAGTGTAATTACGATGTCATTGTCTTCACGGAAACATGGCTGAATTCTGGTGTAGAGTGTGGTGAATTTGTTGACGATAGATATGTGGTTTATCGAAGGGATCTTGTATGTGTTTCTAAAGATAGACTTATGAAAAATAAACCTAGGGAAGGTAAATATTCTAAGTTGGACGGCGGAGGTGTCATGATTGCATGATTTATAAAAATGAATCTTCATGCGTGAACAGCCCTTAGAGGTGGATGATTTCCTTCAAAATGAAATGGGACCACTATGGAAGTACCCCCTTTCCAACAAAAAAAGAATCATGAAAATCGGTTCACAAATACCGGAGTTATCGCGTAACATACATACAAAAAAAAAAGAAAAAATTGCATACAGTCGAATTGAGAACCTCCTCCTTTTTTTAAGTCGGTTCAAAATATTAGGGGCCAATATTTACAAGAAAAAAAAGTCAGTTCATCTTTGGGGACTAGAGCTGGGGCTGAAAACGTGTATGTGCGTAAATTACCCTGGTACAGTTCCTTAGACAGTTTTTTGAGAAAGTCTTCACAATTTCGCACTACGTTCTCAAATTTGGTGAGTATTTAGTAAACACTTTTTTGTATCTAATTAGACAGTGATAAAAAGTCAAATTTTGTTTATTTTTTTATTTCTACAAAATGTTTAGATATTACAAAAATATTGCATTTTCTTGCCACGGTACAGCTCCGCGATTATTAAAATAATCGCAATACTGTTCACGAATTGAAATTGCTTTTCTGGTAAAGTTTCCGTAATTTTGCGAATTCAGATCTTCAAAGGCGCCACTTCTATAGTTTTCTCTCCATGTACCTGGTCGTATGCCAGCTCCTGTTTCTTCTTCTAAAAACCCTGGAATAGTGTATGAGTTCGGCGATGTTTTTCTCCACCAACTATGCAAGATACGCGTCGTTTTTACAATGACGTCTATTTTTTCGGGCGCTAATCCTATTGGCCTTTCAAAAATCCTAAATCGTGATACTAAAATACCAAATGCGTTTTCGACAATTCTCCTGCATCTGCATAGTCTATAATTATAAATTTTTTGCTCTTTTGATAGATTATTTCGTCGAGGGTATGGTTTCATTAGGTAGGTTTTTAGAGGGAAAGCTTCATCTCCAACAAAAACAAACGCTAGGCAAGTCCAGTGTATTTTTTTCGATAGCTTTTTTTAATGTACTTTCATTGAATATACCACCATCGGAGTTTCTTCCCTTCGCTCCGATATTTACATATATAAAGCAGTAGTCGTAATCAACACATCCAAAAACGAAGAATACCGAATGTATTTCTATAATTGAAAAATTCTGATCCTGTTCCTGGAGGACATTTAATCAGTATGTGTTTGCCGTCCAAAGCTCCGACCCACGTACGAAAATTCCAAGTGAATGCAAAGCCTTAGATGCCAAAGATAGCCAAAGTATTAGATGCTCCAAAAGTGTTTCTTCTCGATATCCATTTTTTGACCCAACATCTTTTTTTACGTTTTCTTTTCATTAATTCTTCTCTTAGAACAGCAGAGATAATTAAAACACCCTCGCGCACTGCACTCATAGTAGCGACTGGCTGGCACAAAAACTTTTTGATTGCTTTGGTAGTTGTATTTTAATGATTAGAAGTACCGAACGTTACACCACAAGGTGACAAGTCTCATGTGCCTGTAAGGTGGCAGTACTTTCGTGGACGAACTATTTCACAAGGAGCCCTACTGCTACTAAAAATTATATTATTATCCTCTCATCTCCGCTATTAATTTACGTATCTCTAACGCTTGTTTTTGGTGATGCCTTGACCTTGAAGGTCAATTGGTCAACACAGAGTGTTAGTTATTTAGAGAGCTATCCATTTAAATATTTTGATTTTTGTATGAAAGTAAAAACGATGAGTTATTAAAAGTCGTGGAACAAAAGTTGTCGTTTATGATGTTAGTAATATGGTCCTGGGAAGTTGTTGGTATTTTAAAAATAATCCTGTACCTAGATTTATAACAAGAATAAAGGTGAGAATCTTATCAAGGCATCGATATCATTTAATGGTAATGATGGTTCGACTCAGACACGCATAAAAGCGGGTTCCATACAAAATTATTTTACATAGTTTAAAGCATTCAAGAGCGGTCTTTCCTGGAAAGGTACATAATTGATTTAAATCTTAAGTTTCAAGCAACAAACCAAAATCACCAAATATTCAAAATAAAATTGTTTAATTTTAATTATATTACATATTAAAATTTATGTTTAATAGAAATTAAACAGAAATTCAAACATATTTTAATTCAGAAAGTCAAAATGCAAGCTTCACCTGTCTCCAATATTGTTGACTGGCTGTGAAAGATTTATCGCTGTCAGCTTCCAGTTCCGTCTCCAGAATGTGACCTTGCGAAGTGCCAAGCAAAATGGGGCCAGTGGCCATCTCCGAGAGGTTCTCGTAATTCCAACCAACTTCAGTTACTTCATAGTTCCGTGATTTGGTTACCGACTTCAGCTTAGAGCTCTTACGGTGCAAATAAATGAGTTCAGGGTTCCCGTCTTTGTTCCTAGCAGCGAAGGCTAGGAGGAGATGGTAGCCAAGTGGGTCTAAGAATATGCCAGTCAGTTTTGAGTTCTGTTGTACAAATTTTGTGTAGTGAAGCTCTGAAAGTAAGGTAATAACTTCAAAGAATTGAATACCACAAAAGCTAATTACTGTCAAATGGTAAAGAAAATTAAACAATTATAGGTTTATAAGACATTGTAATGATAACAATAAAAAAGAAGACTTGGATTAAAGCAAACTGGTTTTGCGGGCATGAGCAGTTTATAGCCCAATCATTCTGAGATCCCATAACTAACGGAAGTCATAGAAAGCACCAGCAAAAACTCAATCACAAAACATCATTAAGTAATTCAAGATCGTATGTGTCCCAAATGAGCATTGCGCTTGTGTCTCAATTCAACTTAACGCCATTCTTGAGAGTTGTATCACAGGACTGGAAGTGCTGCGAAACAATTAAAACTGACTCAAACATACATACAGCAACAGATGTTTAAAATAGCTGCTATTATCAAGGTAATACCTACTGGACCAGCTGTGTAGCCTGTTGTTACAATGGCTATTATTTACTGTTTAAAACTATAGCATTAACATTTGTAAGCAGTTGACATGTGTGATAGTGAAACCATGTAAAATGTTTTCAAATAAGTACATTAAATCTTATGTTTAGGTAGTAAAACCTTATTTACCTACAGCTGGCTTTTACCTACATAGGTCCATGTCTGATCAAAAGTATCTAATACAGCACAGTAGAAGTGTGGAAATATCTAAAACAAGTAATACTACAACTGTGATATCACGCGAAAGTGTAACGTGATCACTCATAACATCACCCGACTCAACATTAGATTTTATTGATGCATGTTAATATTTATTTCTTTTTATATCTTTATAGTTACATTACTAACAATATTATAATATTAATTAGGTATATAATATTATGTGTCATAATGTGTAATACTTTAAAAATGTTTCTTTAGTTATAATGTCGGTGCCGGTAATTTTGTTTGTTATATTCGTACTTATACGAAATGGAGCATCACATAGAAACTTCCAAAAATTATGTAACACCAAAACTGTGCGAATATTATTTTGTACCGTCAATGGCACATCAAGCTATCGAATATCGCCTCGAGTGCAAAGGAACAATATCCGTCAATGTGTACCTTGAGGTGCTGCCGTCTGTATATAACCACTTTTAAAACTACGGAATTTGTTAAATTTTAGTCATAATTATACCGTTTTCACACATGTGAATACATATAGTACTTGCAATATAATGTAAACATACTAGCGCCAGTTCTAATCGGTTAAACTACCCTCAAATTTTTTTGTTGATAATCACAACTGATCGGTATGTATGTCTAATTAATTGTCTTTGTGATGGAGCGCAAGTGAGCTCAATTTACAGTGTTATAGTGATAAATTGTTGCAATTGCCTTTTTTTATTAATTAAATATAAATTATTGCAATTACATTTTCGAACAAAACTCGGCTACTGAGTACTTGGTATCGATAATAGATTATGTAAACAAATATTATTTCGATAATGTTCTATTTTTGAGAGTCTAATATTTACATATATTCCGAAATGCGTCAAGGTTTATATCTCATTGCCATTGACTTACAATTATATAGACGTCGGGTCCGCGCTAAAAAGTGTCCGAACTTATAGGGCGTTAAAATCGCATACAGAGCGTCATTCACGCTTTAGTCTTCGTTTGTTCGACTGACAGCGAAGCAAGCAAAATTAGACAGTACTGCGATGACATTACAATTTAAATTCAACATTTTAGCTTTTTCATATTCCTTTACATGTCACTACGTTTAAATAAGTTGACTTGGGACATTTTTTTCATGGTTTTTGTATCAGACCCGTCGTCCATTTATTTGTAAGTCAATGTTCATTGCACACAACTGTACGCACAATATGAGATTTTAAAAAAGACCATTCATCTGATTCTTCTTCCGTTAATAAATGTAATAATAATAATAATTTACGGGACATGGTACTGCAGCCACGTATTAATCGCTAAATGAACTGAATAGCACTGAGTTGTCACCACAGACATATATCTAGAATATGTCTGTGGTTGTCACTCACTATCCACAGCGCGAGCTATTAATGGCAATTTTTGGTGGATTTTTGGCAGGCAACATTTCTATTCTCGTCTCGCCTCGGCAGTGAAAAACCACCTTAACATCTCCGTAGCATTTTTTTACTCCCCGCCCCGCCCGCATTTATCATCGTTCAGTTTCGACCGCGGCAAAAGTATCAACGGGCCTTTGGCGCGTAATTAAAACCATATTACACTATCGACGGTGATTCCCGAAAGTACCGAAAGAACCGGGAAGCAATTTTGAATTCCCGGTTCTCTCATTGCAATAAAAGAACCGGTAATTCCCGGTACTTTCGGGACCGGGATTTTCCGGTTCTGAACCGTAATCAGGAATTATTAAGTCATTCTTTGTGAAAGCAATTTGGTTAAGCGTGAGTTGTACATAAAAATGAATAAAACTGATCAAATTTTTTTTTCATTGTATGGGATGAAAAAATCGGGACAGCCGAAGTTGGTCAAATATCATAAAATATTTTTCATACAAACTTAACAAAATTGACTAAATTTTTTTAAATGCTAATAGACTTCCCTTTCTTATAACTATGATTTCATCATCAAATCGGGACTGCAGAAGATGTTTAATAAAATATTAAATTCATTTTTATCCGACTTCAAAAAAAGGAGGAGGTTCTCAATTAAACTGTATTTTTGTGTCTATGTTTTACGCGATAACTCCCGGTATTTGTGAACCGATTTTGATGATTATTTTTTGTTGGAAAAAGGGTACCTCAGATGTGATCCCATTCATTGATCTAGATACACGTATTTGTTTAAGTGTGCGTTAAGCATACTATCAAACACTTTCGTTATAATAGACGCGAGCGAAATTGGTCTACAGTTACTGGAGTCAGAAATTACCAGTTTTATTTTTTACTACAGGTATTACAATGGTTTTCAATGAAATCCTCGGGCAAGTAACAATGTCTAACACACAAAGTATAGAACATTGCCAACCTTCTAGGTCTAGGTAGATATGAGGACCTGCGTACATCTTAGATGCTCAATGCTGACACCATCATGCCCTGGGGATTTACCTCGAGAAATTAACCTGATAATCTTGGCCACACCCTTACCAGTGTACCCAGGTTCAACCTGCTTACTGTTGGTCTCAACATCGTTCATCCCCCCCCGCGATGGTCCTAAATGTGACTTTTCAAGAATATGTTCTTTAAAGAGGTTGGCAATATCTTTCAAGCCATTTTTGCCGTCATCCCCCGCAGGGCAGCCAGACCGGAGCTTCATATTATTGGTAGACTTCCAGAACGATCAAAAATCCTTTTTGAAATGTTGAGAAGTTATTATGTTCGTTTTGAGTCGACTCTGATGAGCTCTACACCATTTCGGCGGGATTTGACGATTTGAAGATCGTTCGAGTTTCATGCATCTCATCAAATAGAATGCCATGTTTAGTTCAGGTCTACCCTGAAGCGTCCATTACTTATAACTTCTGCCTGGCCACACTACGAGAGCATTTGATGTGCCTGTTCCACCCTACTACTTGATTTTTCGGCTTGCGCTCTACTTTTCCTACTCTCTCTCTTTCTACTTTCACTACTGATAGTTGCAGCATCGCAGAGGACAGACACTATGTTTTTATACAACCTGTCAATCACATGGCTATGCCTAGTTTCACTGCAGTACCTATCAGCGCAGTATCTAAACTCCAAAAGAAAGTCAATACGTCACAACCCTTTATGGCATTCCTCACTATAACGGGCTCGCTCCCCCATACTATGTGCTGATTTGCAATACTAGTCGAGTAGTAAATTTAAATCGCACTTTAGCATGAAAGGGAAACGGTCGGACCACGTAACATCGTAATTGACGTATAGGTACACACTGATAACACTACAGATTACGGTGTAAGACAATGATCCAACCATCGTCTACATTGATGGGCTTCGCTTATGTAGGTATCGGAATCGGCACCGAGCTTCTGCACATCGGTACAACACCAATCTAGTTCATTACAGTGGTTAATAAATTCAGTGTAAAAGAGTTTATTCGGATGGAGGTTGAAATCGCCCAGTACCTATGTAGACAGATTCTGTGTCGTATTCATCAACAATAGCACTCACCGCACCGAGGCAGTCCGTGAAATCCAGTAGGTTGTCCGTACTACTTGTTGGCATGTATTACACTAATCACTGTCGTAAGGCGATCTTTAGTCACTACCCTAATTACGCACACTTTCGGATTACCGCACAATAATGACTATGCTAAAATTGTTTTCACAAAAAAAGACTTAATGGTTCTTAAGACAGTTTCTTTGTATCTTCGACGGTTTCGGATTTCCCCACATTGACCTATTTAAAAAAAACGACGTATATTGCTATGTTTGCGTTATTTAAATATTGTAATAGTTCCTCTACTCTGATTAATATCTATCTGCTCTAGTTTACGTGTATCGATCGCAGCAATATTATTACTAAAGTATCAAAACAAGCCTGGAGCCTTACATTAACATATTTCGCTTTTACCCTGTGTGATGTTGGGGGTGATAAATAATATTAATTTTACAGGAATATAATGCGTTATTCCATTACTTTTCGAGGCACCGTTTTGCGCGTTTCTACTGCACATCATTAAAAGTCACTCCATAGGCTGCTGTAGTTCATGAACTGTTAAGAATTAATTTGTGACACTAATCAATAGAAACTAATTCCTTTTGCACAATCCTAATAGTTTAACCTGTTGTTTGGTTCAGTGGGAACTGTCTGCTTTGCAGAGTCAGAGACACGAAGCTTATTATTACCTATCTTTTAGTTCAACGATGCGAGGCAACAGTGCGAATAGAATAGAATAGGCATATGTAGCACCTAATCACTGCGACCATCAGTTGATTTATTGCGATCACCACTAATTGCAGTTCGGAGTCAAGGCCGACAGCATTGAAGAACTGAAGGACTTTCCTGGTTCTGACAAATTTTATGTCCTCTGGTTGTGGCATGTGCCTTCCCAGTATGGAGCTTCGTACGCCC